AAATCTTTGTATGTTAATGTAACGCAAGGCAGGACAACAAATGAAAGGATATCCCGTAAGTTTCACCGTTTGATGTCCGTACGTCGCAAGGCCACTGGACCAATAAGCATGTTTGGGTCTAGCAGCAGACATTCTAGCGTAGTTGTAACTTTTGGTAAGGCGTTTAGTGAGGCAGAATGTAGATTCCTGGAGAAGGGTTTTATATTTACTAGCATTACGTTCTACATAAGAGCCGAAGAAATTATTCCTAGTGTTGAGTCTGTTTTAAAAAGTCACCCACTTCAACATCTGAGTATATCCTTGCGGAACTTGTAAACATTAAAATATTTCAGCAGCCTGGTAGTCGTAGCTTCTGCTAGAGAAACACACCGCATTAAATATCCTAAAAGGATATACTATTCTTATAGTCATAAAAGCCGATAAACTCAAGACCACAGTGATAATGAACAAGTTAGATTGTTTAGCAAAAAAGGGAAGAGCACCTAGTAACTGGATCATAAAAGGCTATCGACAATAAGGCTGTCACGTCTGTGATGAATAAGAATAAGATAGAGGTTGGTAATTCCTTATGAAATGTGAAGAATCTAGGACCGCTAAAGTGGATAACACATACCCGTAATCAACCCTTCCACCAAGAGTGTATTGCTTACCAAATATACATAAGCCTGATGTACCCATTCGACCTATTCGAGGCGGCGTAGGCTCCCCGACGCATGAACTAGCTAGATATTGGCTAGCATATTGCAACCGTTGACAGGACAAACGAATACTTTCGTAAATAACTATTTTGGCTTCGCGTGAAGGGTGTCGGGTCTTAAGACTAAGTCGGATCAAATGACGGGCAGTTTCAACGTTAGCTCGCTTACTACCAACAGGCCAATAGGTGACATTTTGGAGATAGGGAAACATTGTCCAACTGGTGACAATATCTTGTGAGAGAGGACGAAGCTTACGGTAGATCAAATCACCGAAAGAATGAAATTGAGCTATAACATGTTTTATTTCACGTTCCAATCTAGATTATATACTGAGGAACAAGGACTTACAATGGGATTGTCAATATCCCCTGTAGTGGCAAATTTGACCATGAATGATTTTGGAAGGAGGGCTTTGACTGACTCTCGTAGCTCACAGCAAATGTGATGGCTCTACGTGGATGACAGTTTTGTTATCATAAAGCGGAGACTATACTTTCATTATGAAACTGGAATCTTGCTGTGACACATATCATTTGTCCACTGCTTAGTTCGTAGGATTGGGGTAGTCTGCATACAACGATTCATCGTAAGCCGACGGACACAGATGGCGTATTGCACCATAGTTCAGAGCATCCAAAGCATCTTTATGTTGCAATCGCATTCTGTTTCACAGAGCCCAGACCTCGTGCAAAGAGGAAGAACCCAAGAAAGCCGCTCGGAAAGAAGCAATGAAACAGTTGCATTGTAGTGGATAGCCGAGGCGGTTAGTGAAACACCAGTTGCAGCAAATTTTAAATCCGCACCCAGAGCATACAACTGAGTGGATTGGGACGGTAGTATTCCCTATATAGACGGAACTTCGGAGACCATCCGGAGGGTCCTAAACAAAGAAAATCTAGGGGTAATTTTTACGGAGGGTCAAACGCTTCGTTGACACTGGTGCACTTGAAAGACTCACTTTCCGCAGATAGGACACCCAATTACGTCTACAAAATTAGTTGCAAAGGCTGCGCACCCGTGTTTCAGACAAACCACGAGAGAGCTGCGCACAAGCATAGCAGAACACAAGAGGCACATTACACGGCCTTCGTGGAACGAGCTTGAATATAGGGCTTTATTAACTGCTTCGGTAGTGGAGATGCACGCAACAGATATAGATCATGAAATCGTTAAAAAGTTGTTACGATCAATGTCCCAAATACTAACTGCTGAGGCGCTTAAAATTAGCAAGGTGAAAAGAATGGACGGGGCAGAGCTTTCAAATGTGTGGTGGGCTGTCTTAACCCGACCAGTCTGAGGAGCGCCGGCGGACACATCCGGGGCAGAGGATGAAGATCACATCATCCCCATACCCATCGTTATCATGGTATACGGGTGTGACCTTGAAACGCGAACCACAAGTGACCGTTCCATACACTATGTGGAGTGACACGTTGACCTGTGGCGCGTTGACTTATAACCTGACTGACCATTTTCCTAAATCCCATTCGTCGCGATTATATTCCCAGTTCGCCATGGGCTGTAACAATCCTGAACTAGTTCACTCGGTCTTACGAGGCTTTTGTGTCATAAACGAAACGTTGCTCACAAACTCTTCCACACAGTTGCTTTTCAACATTTCTGATGTTGTAACCACGACTTTGCTACAGCTGTCGCGACCGAAAGATCTCCTGACATCCTCACAGCAATGCTTCATGCCAGGTCGTAGATGCATCACCAACCTGCTCATGACTACGTGTGAGTAGTTACAAGCAGTGAATCAGGGGAAGTTTATCGATGTGACCTATATTGATTTCAGCAAGGCTTTCGGCAAGGTGAAACATAAGGTCCTCCTACACAAGGTGAGAGTATGCGGTGTTGACCGCTCATTGCATCAGTGGATCCGCGCGTTTCTCCTTGGACGAAAATGTAGGGTGCAAGTCGAAAGCCACTTAACCGACTAGTTTCCCTCAACTAGTGGCGTACCTTAATGCACCGTGCTGGGGCCCACCTTGTTCCTGTTTTGTGTCAAGGATCTACCTCAGCTTCTTCGGTCACTGTTTGCCCTGGTTGTGGATGACCTGAAAAATGTGGAGATTGATAAGTATCTCCGACGACTGCAGCCTAATTCAGCAAGCCCAAGGTTGTTTTTGGCGTACATTAATAAAATAACTCACTTCCTAAGCTCAAACTGCCTATTCTAATCCGATTACATGAAGGTGTAGATGGTGATTAATACGCTAGATGATTTAACACTATTTCAAGCGTAAACATTCTAAACTGTACCTCGGTTTAATGGGGGAATTTGTGGTGCTTCACCCACGTTACCAGCCAGCGGGCTATCAGGAACTGATCAAACCTAGGCTTCAAACGTCCGACGGCGAAAACGGTTTTGGTGTTTGGATATTGGCCCATCCAGGCTGTTCGAGTCAGAAGGAAAAGGCTTCATGCATGGGCATCTAATACGTGCGCCACCTGAGGAATGCGTTTGGATCATTCGACCTGTCGACTGTTAAGCAGCTTCTCGGCTCATACATGCATCCATACGTAGAATAAGTAGCACAAGTCTGGCAACTATGGCTGAGAAGAGATGCCAGCTTTTTTGAGATACCACATCGCCGGACAATCAAGAATGGCAAAGGTTTTTAACATTTGTCGTATGAACAACAACTGAGAGTGCTCGAGGTCTTTGGCGTGCACTGTCGGTGATTGTTTAGGGAATTAAGTTTCACTTACCGGAGGTTGAAGCACCGCAGCCACACATACCGTCATTTACTAGAGCTCAGTTGCAGTAGTAATCTGAGAGGCAGCTGTCTCCTGCTGGCGGAATAGTACTGTCATTTGGAATGCTGTCAAAATTTCGTTTCCGCACGCGGCTTCCAGGCATGGAGTTCCCTGCCGTAATCGTTCATCTGTGCTCCCACACTGGTAGAGTTCGAATCCCGAGTTGTCCATGCACTCATTCACTGCACCATCTCAAATGACTTATTGCCCTAGGTCAAACACGAGTGTCTGTTGGAGCATTCACTGCCGGTCAGTTTCCAACATTCGCCCCACAGTATTTACTACCTGCACATGTTCAACAAGTGACACGGATCTTACAATCTTCGCGTGTGTCGGCAATGTTTATGGACGTAAATTGGATTTACATACTTGTCACCTCTACCTAAGTAAGTCCACAGTGTAACTTAATTTTGCTGACACCTTTTCCACAGCGTACAGTATCCACCATAACCATCTTGCGGGAACTGTTAAGCTTCGGCAGTTTACCCGTGTAAATCCATTTTCCTTGTAAGCCTTGGGATTTACCTCTTCGGATAGCACAGCATTTACAGCCATCGGCAATGGGTACGTTCGTAGACTGCCAGGCATACTTCGACAAACGCATCAGGCTGCAAGAGTACATCTGAAAAACGCCAATCAACACTTAAAAAATGATACGATAAGATCATCGGCGTCTATCTGAGTTGATGAAACTGTTTGACTACACCAGACTCAGAGCTAAGGAATGCTTACATGTTCTACTGCGAGTGGGTGGGCCTGTACACACCAGAGTGCGTGCTGTCCGGTTCTATATGTATAATAAAGCACTTGGTACCCTTTGTTAAATTAGACAACAAGCGAAAACGGTAACTAATTTCCATTGACTGGAATACGAATGAACCTACACACTGGTTTTCTGACTTAAAAATACACTGATTCTCAAACGCTGAGGTTGCATTCCACATCTCATATACGCTTAAATTTTAGAAGAATTGAAAACCGATTTGGATCAAATGTTTGGAAATGCAGCTTGGGGTTAAACTGTGTCACTTCTGAAGATAAGAAAACTGGGTGGCCCACTGGCTCCTATGCGAACAAAAAGGAAAACATTCCGAATGACATTTGATTTTAAAATCCCCAACAGACAGTTTTACAAGTTTCGCTGGAAGGTGGTTATAATTGGTCTGTCCCGCGCAAATCACGAAGATATGTTTGGTTCATTTAAATCTGTTAACTAACATTAGAAAGTGTTTGTAAGCAGCTCTACCTGGGCTACATGAGCCTCTACTGAGTCCTATTTGTGCGCAACGTACTCTTCATTTAAACCTAGGGTACATTACGACCTGTCACTGCTGAGTCTTCAGAAGAAATGGTGTATTACGAGTAACATACACAAGAAAGATATGGCGCAAATTAAATGATACTATTTGCAAATTACAGTAGTAAACTAGCTTAGAGGTAAAGTATACAAAGGGCCCGTATAAACGAACAACAATAGTGAAAACCTTCAAAAAGTGAAAATGAATTCCAAACTGTCAGGGACCTTTCCATTTTACTCACCACTATCAAAAGTATGTGACTGTTGCAACAGGCGCCGAATAATCCCAGTACGCACAGCCCAAGAATGACGATGCCGATAATAAAAATGGCCAGTCCGAATGGAGCTGCGAAAAGGAGGGAAGACACAAACAGGTTGAAACGATGTGCTGCTAACACATAGCTCAGCAGTTACAACTTGTACGCCTGCGGAGACCCTTCACTTACTCAGTTGATCGAGTCAGTTAAAATTTATAATAAGTTATAGGGGGAGGTGTAGGTGAAATGATGTATTCCGCATATTCATTGACTGTGATTAAAGTAACAACTTACATTTCTAAATAATTAGTTGTTTTTTTGTAAAACTGTCCAACGAGACGCTGTATGAACTCGCTTGACAACATACAGTGGATTGCGGGAGAAATACTTGGTAAGTGTTATAAAACCTCCAGATTACATCGAGGAAAAGGGAATTAAAGTAGGTGGTTTAAGTGGTTTCGCCAGCAGCTGCTCGTTTTAGATTTTCAAGGGGGCACCTTATGGGGAGTTGGGTTTGCTATTATTCTCACCATAAGACGCAAAAATATCAGTAAACAACGCGTGGACAGCATTGAGGTTCGGCGCGTATCATACTTAAAGTCGAATAAAGGCTGTCACGTGAGCGAGGCAGTATATGGGGAGGGGAAGTGTACCGGTTATCCCACCAATATTGGCTCTTAGAGTATCATTACCCTGCTACTTCCGAAGCCAAAAAGTGAGTTAAGGTCCTGTAGTGGGTAATAGAAATACCTCCCATCATGCCCGACGGTTAGGTTGAAGGTTATTTGGCCTAAAACGAGGCAGCACACTAACAACAGCAAGCAGCACGTCACGGATGCAACTGAATAAAACGGGGGGAAGTGTTCAGACTAAATGATCCCATGTGCCATGGATAAAAACAAACACACACACGAATAAAACAAAACACTACTTTGTAGAAAGTTGTATCTAGATTGCGGATAAGCATTCGTGCAGTTTATTTTTGGTTAATCGAGCTGAAATTACTTACGTAAAATGGGTAGAAGTATTTCTCAGGCAACACTAG